GGTTGCAAGAATCACTATGCCAACATAGTGCACTTTTAATACAAAGATATGCATCTCTGTTGCATGTTTGAAAAAAACATAGGGTGCCTGATGGTTTTATTTTGATCCTGCCAGTTCCATGAGTTGATTTTGGACAAGGCAGAGTGTGCTGTAGAACACCCTGGAGGAATGGTTTTTGAGGTATGCTGCACTAGTTGTGTTATGCAGTTGGGATGATTCAACATCCTTACATCCATAGTACAGTTGTCCATTTATATAACACTGTTGTATTTGGGAATAGGTGTTTGTGCTCAGGCCGAGTGATGGTTCTGGATTCATTGCAACTGTCAATGCTGATGTCGATACGATCAAGCAAAACAGGTTCTTTCTGACACAGCATAACTACTTCATTGGATTTTTTGTGTGGATGTTTTCACCAAGTTTCTTCAATTACAGATGGCCTGTACCTGAGGCTGAATGGAGGCATCCAAGCACAAATGATGATAGCGACACAGATTCTATGTGGCCACGTCCTGTGACTAGAACTACACCTCTCTCTGAATTTCATATAAAAACCCCTAGCGGATATGACCTCGACTACAAATGAGTAGTCTTTTGTAGGCTGTGTTCTTGAAGGTTAAACAATAAAGGTCGCTGTTCCTAAATATGATGTATAGAATTTGTCCTCGGATTCATGTCTCAGCCTTTGCCACAACCTTCTAAACTAGATATTTCTAGGAAGATATTTTGCTAGGATTCACCGTTTTTATGTAGCTTATGAAACTTGTTACCATGGGGTTGGTCCATGTATGCTGTGTGCCTGTCAGCCTGTGCAACAATCTGCTGCAGAAGATGATGTCTCACATGTATTTACTATTTTCTATACGCCTGGGTAAGTGGGTATCGCTAAGATGAATCCTTGACAAGCACATCGAGTGGTAAATTATCCTAAAATCTACTTAGAGAGTCCTCTCTAAATAAGTTTATATACAAGAGCACTTTTTTTTGGAATTAACCGTTCCGTGCAAGTATTTCTTGTTCTGTTCCGTACGGCTGGAGCAGCTAATTAAGCACATGAGGCACGGATCGACTGGCCGCCTGGTCATGAAGGGCGTGCAAGGACCAAACGTGATCTGTTTAGTCTCAATTTGCAGCAGGTGCTGTAATCAGGTAGCAAGATAGGGAGTTGATGATTCAGACTTATTTTTAGACCAGACCATGCACCGAACTTTGTAATTCACCTGGTTTCGCCTGGAACCAACGTACTTCGATGGGAGTTTCAGAGAGGAGAATGGAAACGGTGGAACAGGCGTGGTTATTAGAGATCCAAATGGATCCTGATCACACATACTTGAGCACACAGTGGATGCCCCAACAGCAGAGTTGATGGCACTCAGGGATGGATTGCTGCTAGCTCAACATATTGGCCGCGCCCCACCTCATGGAACAGGTCATCGACTCCGAAGCCAGCCACCCGCAGATGGGCCGCGCCAAAGTCACAAGCGACGAGCGTCGCGAGGACATCCTCTCCTGTGAGTGCGACTTCAAGATCTGAGGAGCTCCCAGAAGGCCATTACCAGAAGCCATATCAGTTATCTACAGGAACTATACTGAAATTACTCTTGTTGCTCTCTGCATTTACCTCTATATAGGTACGTGACTACTGGTCTGAACTCAATGAACCCTTTCATGGTACTGTCAGGAGTTAATTTGATCTATGCAGCTGGCCAGCTACTTTGATCTATGTAGTTTATGTCTGAACTGAATGCAACCTTTCTTGCTACTGCAGGTGTCTTTTTTCTTCCTTCTGAAATCTTATGGTCACTACTAGGAACTATCTTACAGTTTAGTTTGTAATCTGTAATATGAAAACAGGAGTATTCTGTAATCTATGCCTCCTTCTGAGATATTTGCAGACTTCATAAGGAGTTCGTTGCAACAAGATAGATGCAAGTGTGCAGGTGCAGGTCTAGATAGAGAAGTGGCAGCTTATAAGTGCGTACAGTAGTCGTAGATTCGCAGGTATGCAGATCATAGCTGTAGCAAGGCCAAGTTTGACATTCAGCAAAAGAAGGCCTGATTTTTCATGGCGAACAAGGAATGATATGCAGCCAATTCCAAGAGTCAATAGACATGAGCCTGACGGAGTTCATTACTGCATGTCCTGGCATATGTAAAATATATATACTGCACCAGATAGTTGTCTTAATGTCAAGTTTTATACACTGAAGCAAATCTTCACCAATCTATTTAGTCCATGTCAAAATTCGTTCTCTCTATTTCCCTCTGTATGGAACCTACTGCTTAAGAGGGCAGAAAAAACTCAAAACCTCTTCATAATTTCTAGTGTGAAACCAACTTGAGTCATTGTGAGCGATTTCATTGCCAAGGATGACACCATGCTTTAGTAGCCAGCAACATAATTGATATGGCACATTTGAGCCTTGTGCAAAGATTAAATTCTATGTTGTGTATTTATTTTTTTGAACAGTGCCCTTCAGGAGGCCAGGTGTTGGACAGTGGCTCGAAACCCCGCCAGCCGGCTCCCCACCTTGGAGCCTTACCACCGGGCCCCCGCCAGCCAGCTCTTTGCCTTGAGGCCTTACCACTGGGCAACCACCTTGAGCCTTACACCGGGCTCCTTGCCCGTCCGCAATACTGTGTAATATAGAGAAGTATTGATTCATCATCAACTAACATATGTAAAACGATAATGCTTTGACAAGGACATCCGTCCGGGCGTGTCCATCCGGACGCCCCTGTTCCTGGGCCTATGCATCAATTGCGTCGACAGGCAACGCGTCGTTCTCCCACTCCTGGATATTTTCCCCACTCGCGACGCTATCGCTTTCACTGCGTCGTCCGCCCGCAGCGGCCGTGGCCCCTGCGCCATCCGCGCCACAGCGGTCGCATGCGCCGTCCTCCTGCGTACTTTGCCTTGCCGCTGCGCCCTATCCCGTGCCGCGCCCCATCCCGCGCCGCTCAGGGCGTCCACCGCCGCGACCCATCCACCTCGCTCGTCGCGGCCATGGAGTGCAAAAGCGCCACCACCACCCCGACCGACTCGGTGTTGCGGCTGCTGCACGCCCATGGACCGACTCGACGTTGCGGCTGCCGCGCGCCCATGGACCGACTCAACGTGTGTGCTGTCGGGGAAGGCGAGGAGAACGTCGTGGTGGCGTGGGCTCAGACGACGGCTCCAGCGCAGCGTAGAACGGCAACGCTCGCTGGGCTGCGTCCACGAGATGGCTTGGCGTCGTGGTTGTGGTCGTCGGGCACTTCTAGGTGCAGTGCGGATTCCACTCGGGGTTGGGGGCCTGGTGGCTCCTTTCGGCGTGCAGCGTCTTCGATGCCATGGCCTAGGGTGTTGGCCCACGCCGCCCGCCTACGTCACGTGCCCCCGCCTCCCGCTCGTGCCACGTGCCCTGTCCGCGTGGATTCACCGCCTCCACCGCGTCTCCATCCGCCTGCCGAAGCCACTTCCAAGGTCCGTGCCACCAATGAGCTCTGCAACCGGTGACCTCCGCGCCACTCCGTGGCATCAAGCTCCGCAATGGCGTGGACCTCCGTATGTTTCATGCGTTTCAGATATATGTTTCACCTTGATGTTGCATGTGTTCATCCGGATGTTGCAAAACTAGATCTGGTGTTGCATATGTTGCAATGGCTATACATGTATGTTGCAAATATATGTTTCAAATGTTTCAGCTGTTTTAGACGTACGCTGCAATGCGTTTTATCTGGATGTTGTAAAAGTATATCTGGTGTTGCATATGTTGCAATGACTATACATATATGTTGTAAGTGTATGTTTTAAATATTTCAGTTGTTTCAGATGTATGTTGCAGGTGTTTTTATGTGGATGTTGCATATGTTGCAATGGCTATACACATATGTTGCAAACGTATTTTCCAAATGTTTCACCGATTCCCAGATGTTTGTTACAGTAAATGCTTCATGTTGCAAGTGTTGTCATTAGCAGGCGTGAAAAGCGAGCGAAGGCGGAGGTGGTCCTCGTGTGGGTGCGGGAAGCGAAGCTGGCGTAGGCGGTTTCCATGAGCATGCACAACAGCAGGCGCAACACGTGTAGCAGCAGGCGGCCCGCCACGCGCAGGTGTAGCAGCATGCCTAGCAGCAGCATGCATAGCGGCAGCATGTGTAGCATGCAGCAGGCGCGCAGCAAGCGAAGCAATCAGCAGGTGCGCATGCTTATGTGTAGCGGCAGAGCGGGCAGGCGCGGGCAGGTGCAACATGCAGTAGGCGGAGCAGGCGCGGGCATCCGGACGGGGGCTAGCATCCGAACGTCTGGACGCTAGCCACGCCCTTTGTAAAACTGACGTGGCACTCTTAAATCTTAAAAACTCACTAAAACTTTTCCATTGAGACTGCTTATAAGTGTTCATGAGTTCTGTAAACACGTGTCTAAAGGGTAACCACCTTGCATTATACAACATGTCCACAAAGCACCACTTGTGGATTGGATAGGCAACTTGGCCGCCGATAGGTACTGCAGACATAGCAACTTTTTTTTCTTCTTAAACACGCAGGAGAGCTGCGTATCTTTGTATTAAGAAGAAAAAAGGGGCAAGAGCCCTTACAACACACACCCACACTACTAATTTCGACATAGCACCTTTCCCACACGCCCAAAAGAAAACTTTGTTGAGCCCAATGTGAACTGACAAACACCAAAAACTATAATCAATCTTGTTAAGTCGGAGCACATCACAAAGGTTAGGAAATCAACGTTTAAGTTCGATCTTAATGCAACTTCCCTAACAGAGAGCCACCTAATAGCATGTGGGGAAGATAAGTTATGCTCATCCCTCATCCTGGTTGCTAGTCAGCTACAACATTCAGAAGCCATCACTGCCAAGCTTAAATTAATAAGCATTCTGCATTCAGCTAGCAATTCAGGATATAGGAACCATTTCACCATAAAACAAACACAAAAATAGCGCCCATGCTGCTGCTGTAGAACACCACAACGCTTCCCTCAAAACACCATTGTCTACCACTCTTCAGTCTTCACGAGTCATGTACCACTCTTCGTCGACGACTTTACCATTTGCAAGTTGCCGGACAATAATTGGCCTGGGAAGTGGCCACCTGCAGGTAAACAAAGTGCTAATATATTATATACTCCAAAGGCTACACTTTGTAGATCATATGAAAACTACCTGTTAAGTCTGCTGGGGGTAAACTTGTTGACGTTGATTGTTCGAGTTGTGACTTCAGGTTTACAACCACTATATGTTCTCACAAGAAACTGGATTGGATATAAAAATAAGATGCCGTCATTATGTTAGCAGCATAGTTTTTAAGTCGTCGCCTAGGCGCCGCCTAGTCGTCCAGGCGCGGAAAAAAGTCTGGGCGTCCTCAACGCCACGACCAAAACCAGCAAAATGAGGGAGCAGGGGAGGGAGGAGACATAGGAAGAACTGGAGGAGGACCAGACAAGGCTAACCACTAATCTCTACTCCCATCCCCATCAACTCTGCTCCCATCCCTGCCAGCTCTGCTCCCCAGCAGATCTGGGAGGGGCTCTTGAAGGGCAATGGCAGGGGATCTCGCACAGGGATCTAGAAGGAGGGCGGCAGCAGCAGTGAGGAAGGGGAGGGGAGATCTAGAAGGGGGCGACAGCAGCAGTGAGGAAGGGGAGAGGAGATTTGGAAGGAGGCGGCTCCAGCAGTGGATACTGAGAAGGTGTTCGAGAGAGAGAAGAAGCATTCGGAGAGGAGTAGTGGCAGCCCTAGATAGTTCAGGATAGTTGGGGAGGGCTTTTATGGGCTGTCTACTGGACTGGGCCTTTTATGTTCCTTGTCCTTCTTCTTTTACTTTTTTATTTTTCTTTTTTATCCCTTCTCCATTCTCCTGCCTTGAACATATGGCGTCGCCTTGCCTCCTCTTATGATCGCCTAGGCGACTCAAATGAGTGGCTCGCCATGTCTCGCCTTGTCGCCTTAAAAACTATGGTTAGCAGAACCATAACAAAGACCCAATGCAATTATAGAGAATAGAACCTTAAGGCTCATCACTGCTGCCATCTCGTTCAAGTCATCTGAAACGTTCAATTTCTGTCGGTCCAGCCAAAGCTTACCGCACATGTCCAGAAGTATGCTGCCCAACTAGTACCAAAAAACGATGACATTCAGCACCATTTTTGACGGACCAAGGATTCCACATAAGATTAAAATCGTACATACCTCTGCAGCATTGGAGAAAGGCACACCAACATGAGTGATTATTTCCCCAACCTTTATCTCAGAAGAAAGTTCCGTGGAAGATTCTTGTACCTACAACACAAATACACAGAGAACAAAAGCTTCTTATTCGCAACAGAAGACCTGAAACCAAAAGACAAACCAGCTGGATACATACCGAGACAGAGTTTCTGTATTACTATGGCAAAAAGTTCACATCCACAGCATTGAATTAGAAACATTAACACAGAGATAAGTGCAAAAGATGGAAGATCCATACCTTCACCACAATTACACCACACCTAGCAGGGACCCCACCCTTTACTATCTGTTCAAGTACGCTAAGATCTGCTTCATAAAGAGATTCAACTTGCAGTCCATGCAAAGGTCTTATCACCTTCCTGCATCAACATATGGATCATTTTATTCATCAATGCTACAAAGAGCACGAGGCATAATCTTAAAAAAAAAGAACATGTGGGACTACATTTCCCCTGATATCGAAATGAATTAAGGCTTGCACTTAATGAGTACAGTAATTAGTAAAGTGAATGTGCAAAGATAAGTAACAAAATACATACCCAAAGTTAGCAAAGTGCTGAAAACACTTCAACACAATGAAACCTGGAAGGAAAGGAGTTCCTTTCTTGTCATATAAGTTCATTCCAATTACATTTCCATCAAAATCCATCAGAGGACCACCAACACCTTTCTGCACAATATTTTGTTAGTATTTAACTGATGATTTGTAAGAAATATAGGTAAAGCATGGATTGCGTTGTATATGATAGAAGAAATTCATTTAGTTCTACCTGAACATCAAGCAAAAGTTGCAAATTTCCTATTCCTATTCCTAGTATAGCCGCACCCATGAACTTTCAACATGAGCGCTTAATTAACAAAGTCATGGGCGCCAGCAAAATGTCACTTCTTCCTATGGCTTGTGGATCATAATCGCTGCTGGACAGCAGAACGGTTGGCACGGAGGGGCCTTCCTCATCCTGAATCATGTCCTCTTTGTGACCAAGAACAACAGATCATCCAGCATCTTTTGGTTTCTTGTGTTTTCGCCCGCCAGTTTTGGTTTCTATTACTGCAAAGGGTGGGCCTCGCTATCCCCTCACCTCAGACCACAGAGACTTCTTTTGATGATTGGTGGTGCAGGGCTAGTTCAGCTGTGAGTGGTCCTGTTCATAAAGGATTAAACTCTCTTATCATCTTGGGTGCGTGGAGCATTTGGAAACACAGGAACGAGTGTGTGTTTTAATGGTGTTGCCCAAAGAATCACCACGGTCCTCACTCTTTCTGGTGAGGAGTGCCAGCTATGGAATATGGCAGGAGCCAAGGGGCTGCCCTCAGGCCCTAGCTCAGATAACTAGTTGCACTAGGTCGGTCGTTTTTATCGTCTAATCTTTAACGGGTGCGGGTGTAATATGTTTTATGAGGGGTGTTTTGTTGTGCTGTAACTCTCTTCTTCTGTTAATGTAATGATACACAGCTCTCCTGTATGTTCAAGATAAAAAAATTAACAAAGCTTCTTTATCATAGTAAAATAATCTATGATTAAAAGCCACCACATCATTCCCCTGCAACATACCACCATATAGTACAGGTAATGGACATGTCTAAGCGAGGCATGCAATTGGCTACAAGCACCTCACTACAGTAGTCATCCTAAAAAGGAGCAAAAATGCAGAATGATGTTTATAAATTCAAAAACTACACATTAGCGAAACATAATGACAATATAAACTGTTCTTTATCCCTACAAAATTTAGAAATCATGGCAAATCTTATAATCTGTTAAAAAAATTGTGTCACCTCTCGCCTGCCCAATACATTCATGGCATTACTCACTGTCTCAGTGGACAGGTCCAAAACTTCAACTTTTGCAAAGATAATAAAGAAAAAGGCTAATAGCAACATTTCACCTCTAGTACTTGAGCTAAATGTTATAGGCACTTGTTCTCACATGTTTTTGGTCTAGAAAATATTCCTGGCAGATAAACTAAATCTTGGGAAGCAAACGATGCAAATAAAAATGAATGCATAGTCTTTATAAGAAACATTTCAGGGAGAGTGTAGAAGCTTATGATTGTATGAGTAAAGCTTTTACTAAGTTTTGTAGAGAGATGAAGACAATACACCTCTAAGAATTTTTAAGTTTGGTTCCTGTCCTCTTAAGTCAGACCCATAGCATTTGGTTGGAACATGGAAAGAAGGAATGTCAGGCCTCAAGGAACGACTATGTGATGATTGAGACAAATTATTTTATGTTTGGATCCCCGGACTTACAGTTAAATGGATCTAAAACGTATGACTGGCCGAAAAAAAAAATCCACAAGATAGTGAAGGAGCTCAATCACCCTCTATAAGAAAAGTCCATAACAGTTTTTTTTACAGCACAATAAATTGGATACTATAATGTCTCTGAGATCTAAACTATGGTATTATAAACAGCATCCTTGAGCTTTAGGAAATTATTTCCATAGCTCTATAAAAGGTACTCAGATAAAGGTGCTTAGGGCCCAAGAAGTAATTCAGTTCGAAATGGTCTTCAAATAAAATTGTAAAATTACTAGACCAGACATCAGTTTGCAATTTGCTTGACCTACCTGTGAAATCTTGCAAGATGAAACTAATAGCTCTTCACAATCAAACCTGCTTTTCCTTGGAATAAGCTTTCCTGAAGCAACCTTAAGCCGCAAGGCTCACAAGTACGGCCTAGTGCTACAACATCTCTTGTACAGTTTTCATAAAAATTGAAGAGTCCAGAGTTTTGGTTGAAGCTTTTGCTTGTCAGGTGAAAAGTGCAAGGGACCTTGATCATGCATATGTTGTAATAGAAGTCCACATTTGACACAAAGCCCTCAAGTTTTTGACCACCTGCTAACCATACATTGATCTACAACCAAATTTGTAAGAACAAAGTTAAATACTTATACCGTTTTAAGGAAAAGAAAGACAACGATTCTATGTACGGGATGAGAATAGTCCAGCAACCTTAGGTTTATCAACTTGCTCGTCTTTGTCTGGACATGTTATCAAACTTGCAGATGTAACTACATAAGCAGTATCATCCTCATACTCAACTATTGTGCCAGAGCAAGAGAAAATCTCCGTGTCTCCTGCAGACAAGAGAAATGAAACACTAGTTGTTAGAGTCAACACTAACACAAGCAACAACGCCCATCCAGATGAAGTTATTCACCTGTAAAACATTCAAGGCCAACCACACATCGAGCAAGCTCCAGAGTGGACTTCTCAACTTGCCAGTTCATGTGCTTCAGCTCAAATTCTGTCCCAAACTCAAGGTCCGGTTCATATGGTATCCAGTCCATCCATCCTAGTTACAAATTAAGAATCTATGCCATTTACTGAATGCTGGAAGCACTACGGCACAAACCAAACTAGTTCCTGATTGTAATAGTGGTGGTAAAAGGGAATAAAAGCAAACCTCTGTAACTTCCTGGAGGTTTATTGATAGTCTCATACTCTCATCTACAGCAAGTTGATGCACCGAGTAAGTAAAGAAGGCAATAGTAGGATCAGGAGAGAAAGGAGAAGACAGGTAAAAACACTAACATGTATAAACTGTTTCACTCTCCCCTTTTTTGCCACTGAAGTCGCCGCCATTGTTGTCACCTGAAAGCCGAAGCTTTTCCTGTTCTTTCTCCCATAAGTCGTATTGGGCATGCATGGTTGCTTTTAGCTTTTAAGATCCCGGCCACATGTTCTCTATCTTTGATTTCCTGCTCTTCTTTTAAGCGCTTAGTTTGAATGCGTCTCTCTATCTCCCTCTCCCCCTCCTTGAGTTCGTCTCTCCTCAACTGTGTTTCTGAATCAACATTGCGACCACGTAGACTGTATCTACTGCTCTGTGGAGCTTGTCCACCGCTGCTGTTGGAGCTCCCAATAGTCAATTCCTGGGAGGCAATGACCACGATTGCTAAGAAAAAGTAGAGGGCTTTTACCACGCGCACTAACAATTAGGCGAGGGAAAAGCTATGCGCTTGGGGGGGTACTAGCAACGATTACCTCTTGCGTCTCAGGATGACGATCGTGGCCCTCGGTGTCCGCCATGTGGTACCTGCCGTGGGGCTCAGCTCATCGTGGAATCAGAACCACCAGTAGATAGACCGAAATCAGTGACCTAACATACAGCACAAGCAATCCAAGATGTGAACTTGACTGTTGGGAGCAGTTCAATCAAACCCAGGCGGAAAAGAGAACCATCCGATCAAGTTAGGGTTCCTTTACCAAACCCCCGACTCGGACCCATCTCTACCTATTCTAGTACCGATGTACTAGCAGCTGGGAGGTCAGTTGCACGCCCCGGTGTGGCCTTGGTGGAGAAGGGGATCGCCCAGCGCCGCTGCTGGGGAGGAGGCAGGAGAGGACTGAGGAGGCATCTGCGTTTTATCGGACTCCGAGCATGGACCTCGTTTCGATCACGGGAAAGCAAAGTGGGAGCAGAGGCAGAGCAGGGGTGCTTTCCCGCCCAGCGTCCCATGCGCGACGGAGGCCATCGGACGCCTGATCGCCGCCCTCTGCTCTGCTCTCGACCCGTGGTGTCATGTCGTCCATCATGGGAGACTGTATTCCAAAGTGAAAAGAGCTATTGGCCGGTAAAAATAAAAGATTTGTTCTTATTTGTTTTGTATTTAGAACAAACATTAATGTTTATGATAGAAAAGGAGCGGAAAAAGTTCTACGATGGATTAGACTCCATTTCTTTGCTTGGTTTGTATTATGCAACTTATGCAACATCTTGTTCGGATCATATTGCACTATGTATCATCATTCGATAAACTGAGAAATGTTTTTTCTCTGATTCAAGTAGAAAAACAAATGAAAAAATTCGAAGGGTATTAAGAAAAAACAGAAATCTCGTCAACACTACTTCGTCTACCCACTTTTTTTCAATAATATATTTATACATTTGCTCATGATTATGGATTAAATGGTTATGAACCTGTGGAATTTTTTTTTTGTAATAACATGAAATTTAGTACAATACTCGTGAAATGTTTAATTATTCGAATGTATCAGTAGATTTTTTGATTAATTCAGTTAATTATCCTAACAGATCTTCAGCGAGAAGTGACTAGTTGTCATTCCAAACTCCTTACTCTTCCTTTTTTTTACGTCAATTTCATTGCCTTAATGGCAACAGTCTGATCGCTTTCTTTGATAAATGAAGCCATGTGACAGCACAGGTAGTCGCGTTTCTTTCACTGGTCAGATACCATAAGTTATGGTAGTGTTCGCTCGACAAATCCTATCGGATCAGCGGCGTCCTTAGTAGGAGCAGAAGGGATCTAGCTAGGAGCCGAAACCTACCGTTACAGAACCGTGGAAAAAGCCGAAACCTAAGGTATTCCTTTATCTTAACTTCAATAACAACCATTGCCTTACATACCATTGGCTGGAAAGGAACGTGCCGTTAGCCGCAAGTAGATCTAGCTAGTTGACTCGTTTATAGGCAAAAATCAATGCATCGAACCCTTTACCGATTAAAAGATTAGGAACCGTCCTCCTTTTACCGGAATACTGAAAGGTCCTAATATGGCTAGAGGGAGGTGAAAAACCTATTTAAAAATCTATAAATCAACTAGAGCAATTTGATTAGTATGACAAATAGCGAAATGCAAACTTGCTCTAGCTCTATAAGGGTTGCAAGCCGCCAATCCAACAATTCTAGTTACTATGATCACTAGACACACAATTTGCTAAGTCACTACTCACTAAGAGCTCTCACACTTGCTACACTAAAGAGCTCCAATAGATGAACTTAAGCTACAAAGCAAGCTCTCAATTCTAGCTACACTAAAGAGCTTACTACAACTAGTTTGCGGGTATGTAAATGAGTAAGTTAGGTGATTATACCGCCGCGTAGAGGAGTGAACCAATCACAAGATGAATACTAACTCAATCACCGGGAGAATGTCAAAGGGCAAGCGACAACCAATTTTCTCCCAAGGTTCACGTGCTTGCCAACAAGCTACGTCCCTCGTTGTGTCGACCAACACTTGGTGGTTCGACGGCTAAGAGGTGTTGCACGAATCTCGTCCACACAATTGGACACCGCAAGAACCTACCCACAGGTGAGGTAACTCAATGACACGAGCAATCCACTAAGGTTATCTTTCGGCGCTCCACCGGAGAAGGTACAAGTCTCCTCACAATCACCGGGAGATGCTCACAAACAATCACCAACTCGTGCCAATCCTCCTCCGCTGCACCAAGCCGTCTAGGTGGTGGCAACCACCAAGAGCAACAAGTGAATCCCGCAGCGAAACACAAACACCAAGTGTCTCTAGATGCAATCACTCAAGCAATGCACTTGGATTCTCTCATAATCTCACAAAGATGATGAATCAATGATGGAGATGGGTGGGAGGGTTTTGGCTAAGCTCACAAGGTTGCTATGTCAATGCAAATGGCCAAGGGAGTGAGCTTGAGCCGGCTATGAGGCTTAAATAGAAGCCCCTAAGAAATAGAGCCGTTGGCTCTCTGTTCTCTGAAAAGTCGGGGCGACCGAACGCGTCGGTCAGATCGACCGGACGTAGGACCCTAGCTTCAAATACTGATCGCCCGATCTCAACGGTCATCAGTACATTTAAGTTATGATCAGACGCACGACAGTGTAGGACCGGACGATAGTGCCCAGCGTCCAGTCACTTCCAGTAAGGTACCAGTCTCGATCGGACACGTCAGTTTGATCTTGACCGGACGCAGGACCCCAGCGTCCAGTCACTTCCAGTAAGGTTCCACTCATGACCGGACGCGTCCTGTCATGCCCGCCCGGACTCGCCCAGCGTTCGGTCACTCACCGTCTCCTCTTTGTGCCGCCACATTAGCACGACCGGACGCTGAATAATGTTCAACCAGAGTCCGGTTGCCTACGTCCGGTCAAGAGACCGAGGGTGGCCTTCACTGCGCCACTGACCGGACGCAGGACTCCAGCGTCCGGTCACCACGCGACCAACGTCCGGTGCACTCTGTGAAACCCTTTCTTTTCTGTACAGGGCGCCGGTGGCACCGTCAGACTGTTCGCACTCTACGGGCAGACACTCCATCGGTGAAGTTTCAAACCCTTGCTCCCAAGTGCTAAACACAATGTGTATCACCTTTGTGCATGTGTGTTAGCATATTTTCACAAATTACTTTTCAAAGGTGTTAGCACTCCACTAGATTCTAAATGCATATGCAATGAGTTAGAGCATCTAGTGGCACTTCAATAACCGCATTTTGATATGAGTTTCACCCCTCTTAATAGTACGGCTATCGATCCTAAATGTGATCACACTCTCTATGTGTCTCGATCACTAAACCAAAAAGCTTCTATCAATTTCACTTTTGTCTTGAGCCTTTTGTTTTTCTTTCTCCTTTTCCAAGTCCAAGCACTTGATCATCACCATGGCATCACCATTATCATGTCATGATCTTCATTTGCTTCATTACTTGGAGTAGTGCTACCTATCTCATAATCACTTTGATAAACTAGGTTAGCACTTAGGGTTTCATCAATTCACCAAAACCAAACTAGAGCTTTCAAATACTCCCTCTGCCCCATACAGAGTGACGTTTTGGGAAACATGTCGGTCTAACTTTCTCAACTGTGACTAGGTTTGTGGATAATATTAGCAACATTTGTGTCAGTGCAGAAAGTGACCAACACGTAAATATTTGTAGTTTTGATGTACGTTGTGATCGGAGGTGGCCTAGCACTCAATGACACAGGGTTTATACTGGTTTAGGCAACGTGCCCTACGTCCAGTTTGAGTCGGTCGGTGACTTTATTCCTGAGCCTAGGTGCTCGAAGTTTGTAGTGGGGTTACAAACGAGAAGGAGAAAGGTGAGGGGTACAAGAGGTCCGGTTGGACTCTGGTCTGAAGGGCCGAGAGTGACGGGAGCCCCACTATGTGCTAAGTGTTCGAGCGTGTGCTCGGTATAACTTTAGAGTGTCTAAAGTTACAGAGGGTGAATCAATGTAGGTGAACTGATCGATCTCCCTGTTGGAAGAGAGCGCATCCCCTTTTATAAATGAAGGGGGTGGCCTTACAAGTGAGAGGGAGAGAGTACGTATGCTGCTAAGTCTTGCTTCCCACGCCGGCGGGTACAAGATGATGCTAGGCGCCCACAATACTGTTTAATGTCAGATGCATGTGGGAGGTTGCGTCGTCTTCTTCAGGTATGGCAGACGTCGGTGCCTGCCACACTGTTGATACCCAGAGCCATGTAAGGTGTTTTAGCATGTTCGCCTGGTACGGTAAATGCCGACGCCCACAACACTGTTGATGCCCCAAAGGCACGTGGGGGAGCCTTACCGTATTTG